CACCCCCCACAGCCTCACTGTGACAGAGGAGAGAGAGGAGTGTGAGTGATGGAGGTGGAGAGATGTGTTTATTCTTCATCATCTAGTGATGATACGAACAGGTGTTACGGTTCATGCGAAGGAAACGGAGCACACTTTAATCTGCAGTTTTGAAAATCTGCTCATTTTCTATCTTGAGAAATCAGCCCTGATGGAAAGACGCAGCAAGAAGCATTCCCTAAGTGTAGATATTGAACTGATTTTAATTTATTATATTTTAAGGCAATTTTTCCTCAATTCCTTTCCGTTTTAGCACTGCTGTGACAAAGATATATAACTTTTTGCAGTACAATATATGAAATGCTGTAGGAGAAAAACGTTCTTGGAACAAGCAGCTTCTACAGACAAGGTGTCAAATACTTAAGTGTGACCTGAGGAACAGTTTGAAAGGTTCTAGAGAGGTTAGGTAGAAAAAAAAGAAAAAAAGAGCTTAGAAAAGAATATGTCATTGTCAGAGTTTCTTTTTGTGTCAGACCAGAAGAGGCACGGTTGGAACCAAACTGAGCACAGGACAACATAACAGCCCACAACCCACTCTCTCAGTGTGATGTATTCAAAGTGAAGAGAAAGGAAATGGCATGAAGATGTTTGGAAACATGAAGGAGTTTGTCCTTTGGTGGAGAGGAGTCCAGAATGATCAGGATGTCAGACTGGGATTAAACAGTAATCTGGAGAAGAACTCAGAGTTTTCCTCAGATATTTGTCTGTTTTTACATCGTACTGTTCAGACTGTATACACGTCTGCATACACGCACGAAGAGTGTGCAGGTGTGTGTACCAGTCTGGAGATAACACCTGCTGCATTTAGTGTGAAAACACTTCAGAGTTTCCCCTCACTGTGAGCTGTTTTCTCACCGACTGTGGAGAAGGTCTTACACAACACAGGCCTAAACCCTGAAATCTTACTTTTCAGCCAGTGATTCTCAAAGGGTGGATGATGGGCCAAAAATGGCCACTGGTGGGACTTTTGTGAAGTGATGTCAAATGTGTTTAAGCGATTAACACAAGCAATTTTTTTCTGAGAACTCATATTTTAAAAGTCACAAACCTTCGCGACCCAAGTCAATAGACGTTATTCGTAAACTCCTGGGAAACGTGATGCGAGACGACCAAAAAATAAAATTCTTGCAAACTCCCTGAGGGCCGCGACCCAGTCTTTGGGAAACTGGATTAATACATTCATTCTGACAGCCCAAATTTACACACACACACACACACTCTCACTTAAATCTTTTTAATCTCTATACTATTGTCTGTCTGAATTAGTAAATATTACTCACAGTACAGTGTGTACACCTGATGTCCCCTCCCACCTCCAACACCTAATTAAAATGTAACTCTTTTTTTTTTGAGATGGCAAATCAGATGCCGTGTTTACTTTAAATGTCCTCTATTAATACCTAATAATAAGAGATGAAACTTTGCCTCAAACTCATCCCCACACGTCATCATGTTCTTCGACGCCTCAGCAGAGAATCACTCTGTGCACATTTCAATTCAAATCGTCCAAAGCATTTAGCGGCAGCTTGAGTGACAGGAAAGGAAAAATGAGAGGAAAGAGCGATCAGAGTGGAGAGGCGATGGTGTGCTGGAGTGATGGAGTGAGCAATGATGGTGACAGCAGCTCACCGACAGGGTCAGAGATGCTCACTTTACCCATGTGGATGATGACAAATGGGTGAGGAGTCATGATAGAAGATAGAGTTGGGATGCAAAATAGAGAACCAGTGTGTGTGTGGGGGGGGGGGGGTAAAGAGGGGGGAGTACATTAGAAGACATTTCTTTAATTAAAATTTTGGTATTTTACTAAGGTGCTGTAATAATTATCATCAACAAAAGGTTAAAAAATGATTTGTGATGTTTACTAAAAATACATTTTTTGACATTGTATTGTTTCATGTATTATTTTGTACAACAACCAACACTAATACCAGACCTATCTAATCCACACCATCTGCTAACAGTGTTGATTGACTGAGGAACACGTGCTGAGAGCTATGACACATTGGACTGATTTCTTCCCCTTGGTTTTTATTTATACCACCCTGAATCATTAGCTTTTCTCAGGTTGTTTGAGGAGTGGGCTCTCTCCCCTGAGGTCTTTACAGAGCCAGGAAGAGTGACGGACAAAAAGGCGTCGAGGGACCATTTTTATGAATGGATCTTTTATTTGAGTCCTGACACTTTCTTAGTGTCTTTCCTAGTCTTGAACAGCAGACAGCATCTTCAACTGAACCACGGAGGGAGACTGCAAAAACACAACCTCTGTCCACTCTGGTAAAGTTTTCAAAGCTATAAAACAGTTTTTCAATTACGAATTGACCAATAACCTCCAGTTAGTCAATTAAAGGGGGGAGCAAATATGGACACTTGAATCCAACAGAAGTATAACTCTGTGTGTTCACTCACCCTTTTGTCTTAGGCGGTCAGGTATTAGCAGAGGGAAAATGTTTCCACATGTGATGTTGGATGTCTCCAAGCTTCCGTTCCCATCAGCGCTATCTTTACGCATCGCTCCGACGCAGTCGAGGAAAGTAAACGTCTCATTTCTCACAACAAGATCCATGTGGGTTTGTTTTTCCGACTTCAGATTAAGCAGCAAAGATGTTAATTTGGGTTTTACGAACTAAAACGCCAGAATAAAAAGCCGGTGCGTCCGTAGTCCATACCACTTGGTCTGTATGTTAATGATGTGAGGTATGGCTCACCGACGTCCAAAAGTAAATGTAGAAAATATTAATTGTTTTGTTGCTTTTTTTCTAGTAGTAATCGTGGATTTTTACTGCAGACGCGCTTCACTTGGCACCGTGTGCGTATAATGCGCACCAGAGGAAGAGAGGTGAGACAACAGAGAGGGACAGGAGAGAGAGGGGAGAGAGAGGAGAGAGAGAAGGGAGAGAGAGCGCAGCTGCGCGTCAGACGAGCAGAGCGAGAGAGACGTCGAAGAGTGTGGAGTAATGTCATATATGGCGTGAAGATGTGTGTGAGGGAGGGAGGGAGAGGACTCTCTCTCTCTCTCTCTCTCTCTCTCCTCCCCCCGTTAATTGGTTTACATAATTCTAACAAGGAAACAAAGAATCGATGAATCGATTTTTTTTTTGTTTTGTAAATGTAATTAAATTAATGTTTGCTATAAACCATTGCTTCCCCCATTCTACGTTTTAACATTTTCGGTTTATTTCGTCATTCGGATACCATCAGNTTTTCTTCAATCCCTCACATTTGAACATAATAACAAAAGAATGTGTGGGATTTTAACTAAATATATCCTTCTAAGTCCCTGTGATAATAATAATAATAATAATAAAAACTTCAGTTGTGTCCAGGTGTGAACTCCTCAGTCCATCACTTCACTGATGCTCTCTAATGTTTCCATTTTTAGATTCAACGTCTTCTCTCGGTTCTTTTGAAAACCCCAAAGATGAAACACGTCGTCATAGCCTTGTTGTACTCACAGATTAGTCACCACAGAAACTGGGAGAATTGTTTCTATTCTTAGGACTTCTGTGTAAAAAAAACTACTTATTTGAGTTATATTTAATTTTATATCAAAGTTCTGGGGAGAAAGCAACAGAAACCTCAGTCAGAATTGTGAAATTTGCCTCTGACTCAAACTTATGTTGTGATGAACAGCATTAGGATTACATAAGCCTGACCTAACTTATTTAAAAATAAGAGATACGCAGTTTAAGAGTAAACGGGCTACGGAAGAGAAGAAGACTGTTGTCGAAAGGTGGAACCGCTTTATGAAACCAAGACCGTCCAGCTGACTACTACTACTACTACTACTACTACTACTACTACTACAGTATACTACTGTACATAGTACAGTATGTGTCTGTATCTATCATCTGTCTCTCTATTCTCTGGATCCCTGATTCTGATTCTGCACAGACTAGTTCAACAACCAAACACTGTGTGCAGTTTAAAGGTCTATATACAATCTGTCACGTCAACGCTGCATCCTCTAGGGGTCACTGCAGCAGATCATCTGCCTCCTGCTCACTCCATGCTGTCGTCATCCATCCTTCTCCCTAACAGCTTTTCTTTCTAACATCACCTGTGAAGTATTTAATATTGCAGTAGCTCCTCCCTGATCAGTCACAGACTAGAGCAGCACAGGAAACAGGAAATGACCCCTGAAGCCATCAGACTCTTCAACTCCTCATTCTGAGTCTCTGTTTAAACTCACTGCTCAATACTATGATTCCATTATGACTTCTTCTAGTCAATATTTGTGCAGTAACTGGACACTGTTCTGGCTAATGTTGTTGTCAGTGTTGTTTTGGCCAATGTATGCAATATTTTGGACAATATTTTATGTAATACATATTGATTTTCTGCCATGTATTTGCAAAAGTAATGGATTTAATATGAAAAACAAAATATTAATAATTACAATACTGTAATATTGTTTTTATTTAATTATTTTTAATAATATATTATGATTTAATTACTGTCTTTTAATAAATATTAGTACACATATTTGGTTACATTTATGTTAACATTTTGTATTTGTCTAAGTATATAGTAAAATATTAATTGATTGAAAATGTCTGAATCTGTCACATTCAGAATCTGATGAACTTCATATAAGTGGATATTTCAGCACATACTCTATTACAATAGTTTAATTTTATTGTATATTCAGTATATTTATATACCAAACACCAAGCCTGTATAGATATACAGGTTATAATCGGACAACAGATAAAGTTCGTGTCATGTTTTGGTTTCTGGATATTGCGCCACCTACACATGAGGAAGGTTTTAGACGTGTGTTACATCAGTCTGTGGGGAGGTGCAGTTGTGTGGCCCCTGAACGCCAAAATGACTTCTGACAAATGGCAGCCATTATTTCAAGTGTCCCAGCTCTAATCTCTCTCCTGCTGTAATGAGCCGTTAGGCGGGTCTTTCCCCAGAACCTGTCCCTCTGTACGATCACACTGCGTGGGAATCAAGGTGCGGTGAGAGAGGGGGGGGGAGAGAGAGAGAGAGAGAGAGAGAGCCGGGTTCTCCTCTGATGACTGCTGTAATCACAAACCAGCACCACTTGTTGATTACTGATGCTTCACTGCTGATGAATGCAGGTTGGAGATAATCACCACCGGGGGTGGCATTTCACAGCCCGCATCCTCTGTTCCTAATATATACACACACTTCTCCTCCACAATTGCAAACATCACAGAAATCTGGTTTTGAGCTCCGATAAACAACCGCAGCACTGGAGTAGTGGGAGGTCCAGAGAGGTGGTCAACGTCCTCACGGAAATACTTTTCCTTTTAGCAAACACGGGGACGTGACTGAGGTTAATGGATGTTGAACGCATCAGCGCTAAGTAGAGCTGAAGGAAATTCCCATCCTGTTCCACTCTCTCCATCCCCGAAGGCTGTGGCTTCTGTGGACCCTTGTTATTGACTGTTCAAACAAGGCTCTAGGTTGGGAAGGAAGGGGTGGCTGCAGGGTGGGAGGTGGAGGTGGAGGTGGAGGTGGAGGTGGTGGGGTCGGGAACACAGGACACTACTGTCGGATGGTTGGTCGGATCATGTCAAGTCATAACATTCATAACAGAAACTACTTTTTTTCCTGCAGTCTAACAGTAACTAGAGATGTTTGTGTTTTGTTTTTCAGTTTGGAGCATTTAGATTGCTCTCACCTTTGACCCATGCAAAAGACAACACTATTAGGTATTTTATCACCCAAGATCTCTGCTATAATTACTATGAAGCAGCAGCCATAAAACACAACCCAATGAACTTTGAAGGTAAGAAATGTTGTACGAGGTTACACCCTCACTGATGATGCAGTTTTTCTAGGTTTGACCCAAGAGCGTGTTAAGATACGGACTGGACCTTTAACCCCGAGGATAAACCAGTCCGTCACCACAGCTACAACCACATGTTATAGAGCAGATTTTAGTACAGAAACAAAAATATACATAACAAGACATAAGTAATTATATATATATACAGTATATATATATATATATATATAAAATGCAAGTGTACATGCCCAGAGTGTATTTCTAACCTAATGCTGACTGTGGCGCCTGTGCTGTGACTGCGGTGCAGCACCTGCCTCATGAACCTTTGACGTTACTTTCTCCCCGTGACCAGATTATTGCCTCCGTTTAGACATTCCTTAACAGAAAACACAGTTAAATAACTCATCTTTAAACGTACCTTTGGAACGTCAAAGTCCACACGGTGAGGGCCAAATGGGTGGAGTGTGGGGAACAGGTGTGAGCGGTGGGACATAACAACCAGGCAGCAGCAGAGACGATCCTCCTTTGGACCAGGTCACCAAGAAGACACAGGTTGGTGAGTTTTATTGTCATGATCTCAAGATTTTTCAAAACTTTCTAAAAAATTTAAGGCTTTAAGTCGCTTATTTGATTTAATATACCAGTAAACTTTATACACACATAACATAAATATAACTTTAAACTGAAAATGTAGCATGTAATATGAATATATATATATATATATAAACCAACTAAAAATTCCTATTTCTGCACTAGCAAGTTGATATATAGTAACTATTTTAATGCTCACTGAATTGAATAGTCAACTTTTCTGGTATACTTCAGCTCTTCTGATAAAACAACAGTGACAGAAGAATAGTTTACCTCCAACTTTTTTTTGTTTTGTTTTGTTTTTGTCAGAGCTGATACTGATTATTTGTCTGCCTGTCTTTAAATCAGCAAACATGATTTACAGATGTGACTGTAAAGTATCTCTGCCTATCAATGGACTGCATTCTGTGTGTATGAATGAGGGCGTCCTAATCTTCAGTCAACACTCTAGTCACCTGTCATTAGCATTAACCATTAACTCTTACTGCAGAGCTGACCTGAAGATTAACTTCTCAGTGCAGCTATCAGCACCTTTTATGGTTTGGTTGCATTAAAAACATATTTTAAATGGAGACACAGGTGACAGGGAAAGGTGGATCAGAGGGCATCTAGAACACACGTGTCAAACTCAGGCCCGGGGGCCAAATCTGGCCCGCAGTCTAATTATATTTGGCCCGCAAAATCATTATAATATTAAGCTTTGGTCGTTCCAGATTCATTGTTTACACAAAACTCAAGTTTGTTTCCATATGAAAAAAATCTACATTACAAATCTGGAGAGAAGGGAAAATATGTAATTCTTCAATAAATATTGAGTTTGGCCCGTGACTTCGTCCCAGTTTTAAATTTTGGCTGTGTTGTCACTCTAATTCTCATGGGGACAGTTACAATAATAAGAATAATATTATGATGTTGATTGGTTAATGTCAACAAACTTCCTGTCCTTCCTGCCAGGACATGGCTGGGTACAAACAAAAGGTGATCTCCCTCACTAAGAGGCCTGGTCAGACCTTTGGCTTCTATCTGAGGGTGGAGCATAATGAGGACGGTCACCTGGTGCGCTGTCTGGATAAGGGAGGTTCAGCTCAGCTTGCGGGCATGAAAGATGGGGATCGTATCATCAGAGTCAACGGAAAATTTACTGATGAACTGTCCCACTTAGAAGTGAGTATGAGGGTGAACATGATTATTATAATACAATATTTTAACAGCAATGTCAAATGAACCCATGATGACAAATGACTCTGTTTCCTGTTGAACAGGTGGTAGATCTGGTGAAAAACAGTGGATTAACTGTTGCCTTCCATGTCATGGATGAAGCTTCCTATAAACAAGCAAAATCACAAGGAGTGAACCTGTCCAAGCCCCAAACTGCACCGGCCGTCAACGGCGTGACCAAACCAGCTCTAAAGCCAAAACTGTGCCACCTGGTCAAGAACAGCTCAGGGTTTGGCTTCTCTCTTTCCTCAGTTAGAAGTAAGTTGCATTTATAAGTGTTATAAATAAATTTAGCAGCAGATAATAAAAATTATACCAAAAATACATTTTAATTTTACCTACCAAAAATGTTTTATTATATAACTATTGTATTTTGTTATATATATTCATATATATATATATTTGTATTTCTCCTCCTTAGCTTAGCTAGGTTTTAAACCCAGAGTTTGTTGATTCTTCTTAGTGTTTTACTGCAGCATCCTTTGAATATTTGCTACCTAGTTATTATGCCTCCTGTGCAAGTTAATTAAAGGTACATTTCAACAACCTGGATACATACCTAAACATTTCTGTAACTCCTTTAGATGTCCCTGGTTTGTTCATGAGTGATGTAGCTTCTGGAGGTGTTGCTGCTAAAGCTGGGGTCAAGGACCACGACCGCCTGGTGGAGCTCAATGGAGACAATGTGGAAGAGTGCACACACGAACAAGTTGTGGACAAGATTAAGATGTCGGGAAGCGACATAACGTTCCTGTTGGTTGATGAGGAAACAGACAAAGACTATAAAAACAAGCGTGGAAAGATTCAAGCACACCAAGCTACAACCAAGTACCTCAATCCAGATCCACGTGTGATCAAAATCACCAGAGGAGCAGATGGATACGGTTTCCTGCTCAGAGAGGAGCCTGACCACACAGGCAGGGGCACTGATTACTTTTTTTTTTTTTTTTCAAAGCTGCTTTTAAATCAACATCCACATCCTGAGCTGTCTTGCTGATGTTGTGTTTACCTTTGAACGTGCAGGTCACTTCATCAACGACATAGACAGAGGCAGCCCCGCAGAGCGAGCCGGGCTGAAGAAGAAGGACAGACTGGTGGCGGTGGAGGGTCAGGAAGTGGACAGCTGCAGCCATGAGCAGGTGGTGGATATGATCAGGCTGTGTGGTAACCAATGCTGCCTCCTGGTGGTGGACAACGAAACGGATCACATATACAAACAGGTGGGATCAGATTTCACCGACTAACTTTAAACACATCCCACAGTCAGTGGTCTAAATCAGATGTCTCCCATAGGCAAATGTGTCTCCTCTTATTTACTGGGAGGAGATGAACAATTCAAACTCACCGCCCAGTTACACAGAGGCCATCACCACGCCTGTTGCCATGCGGCCTGCCACATTGGCTCAAGAGAAGAAGAAGGAACTCAAACTTAAACTTTGCAGATTGGAGAAAACTTCAGCCGGATTTGGATTTCGTCTCAACGGCGTCCAAGGCCTCTATGGACAGCACATCAAAGAGGTCAGAGTAGAGAAGACTTCCGCTGTCCTTAACGTTACTGTTTATAATAAATGGAATAAGAAAAGGTTTGTTTCAGGTGGTGAAGGGCGGAGCAGCCGACAGAGCAGGCATGGAGGATGACGACGTAGTGGTGGAGGTGGATGGAGTGAATGTGGAACAGAGTACCCACGAAGAGGTGGTGGATCTCATCCACAGCAGCGGGTACTCTTTGGAGATGCTGGTGGCAAGGAAGTTCGTCTTTGACGA